TCCTTTTTCTGCTTATGAAAAATTGAGAACCATCCACACCGAGCCCACGAAGACACGCGGAGATTTAATTTGTCCTCTCCGTCATTTATCTGCCCTTCTCCATCTTATCCGCCTACATCCATAGCCTACTCACGGATCTCCAGTCCAAAGCCTTATTAGAGCGTTTTAAACATGTTGTACGCAGACCACACCATACAAATGAAAAAGCCTGGTTTTCAGTAATCCAATAGGAGAACAATCGATTAGACAGCAAGGTCGATCTTCAGATGAAAAAGTGGCCTCGGTGTTGCTGGAATGCAGTCGGCCGCTCGGGAGAGAGCCGAGAAAAATGACGGGAGCTGCTGAGCCCGCTGTGGCTGACTGCAGCAGCGTGCAAGAGCGGAGAGAGGGAGGAGGAGGATGCTTCGTCCCTGCGTCTCACAAACCACTTCACAATCCCTTTACACAGCCCCGAGCATTTATCTTTCCTCCGATAAGAACCTCTCCCCCCAGTCTTTACACTCCCTGCCACACCTCAGACTTGCTGAATAAACGTTAATTACCCGTCACAGGAACGCCACCGCGTGGACCGTAGGTTTTTAGCGACACTTCACCTTCCCGAAAGAATCTCTTATTACTCTCTCGTGCGTTTACCGATCACAATTACAATATCAACTGTATTCTCGCCAACATGGAAAAACATCATTAAGATCATAATGCAAGGCTAAAATTGTCCTCTGAAATTCATTCAGTCATGAAAAGAGCAGGACCGGATTTTAGGCCCCCCACCCTGCTGAGGGAAACCTCGACCCTACTGGTCTTATGACTCTCTCGTATTTAAGCTAAATATGGCAAGAGGTAACAGGTACATAACCTTGATCTCAGGTACCATGCACGTACATACGTGAGTGTTATTCCATTTTTCTCCATAAAATGTGACCAGTTTGACTGAGGAATATACAATATTTACACATACTGTAGTATAGTGGTTCCTTAGTGTAGTGTTTTACACATTTTCATGAAAAGCAAACCCGGTTTCATTCTACAAATCCCTTTGGGGTTACATCATTTAGGGCATCCAGTGTAAACAAAACAAAACAAAAAAACCCAAACATGTATAACTACCGGTGTTGACGACCATATCTGAATAAGTTAGCAGCCTAAAGTAGCTTTGAAACAATCAAGTATCATCCCAGTTGATGCTAAACATCAACTGGGATGATACTTGATTTGATCCAGTATGTCCTGCACCCACAGGGTTTTTGTTGCCTTGGGTTTGTGAATTCTTTGTGAATGTGATTTTGGGTTTGTGGTTTTATTGTTATTCCAATGTTTGATGTTTTTATTTCTGTGGGTTCCGGATTTCTTTATTCTGGTTTTCTCGTGATTTCAAGCTTTATTTCCTGCAAAAACGTTGAGTGTTTCCTCCCAGAAACATGACCAGATGGCATCTAACGAG